TTATCAAAGTTAAACCAAAAACCTTTCTTGTACAACCTTCTATACTTTAACCTATTTTCAACTTGCAATTGTTAGCAAGACCAGAGATCACATATTATACAGCTTAACTGAATTTGAATATGGTTAAGAATTATTGGATATAATATATTGTTATAATATTAATTTATATACCTAAATTCAAAATTATAAAAAGAAAAATATAAGATTTGGTATATAATTCTATTATTAAAAGACTTTGTATTCAAGAATTAGAGCTTTTTAAAAATTCTTTTGATAAATAAATCTCTTATTAATTTTTATAATTAGAATATTGTTTAATTAGCTTTAAACATAAATAGTAAAATAGATTATTTTTTCTATATCAATTATAATATATAACTATTTAATAATTCAATAGCAATTAGCATTACAAAAATTGTTCTCCTTATACAATCATATATATACAAACCTGTCAAAATATTTATGTCAATTAATTTATAAAAATAAGAGGATTTATTAACAATTATTTATTAAATTAATAATAAAGATAAAAAATAGTTTATTGAAGGTTTAATAAGAAAATAAAAATCAAATAATATAAGGATTACAATTATAAGAAATCTATATCAGTATTATTCTTCAAAAGAGTGAAATATATATTGTTTTAGTTGTATAATTATTTTTTTTCTTGTTTATTAATAATAAATAATAATTTTATTTAGAATAAAATTCTTCAAATTATTTAAAATTATATTAAGCAACTAGTTTTAGTAACTTAATAAAATACATTTTTCTAATTATTTTATCTATAGTTTAATAAAACAACTTTAATTATTTTTCTAATAAAATAAAGAGATATTTTACTTCAAGGATTGTTTATTATATAAAAATTAAAAAAATTGATAAGAATTCACAAGTTAATCATGTGATCATATGATTTATAATATATAACTATCTTAAATTATAATATTATTTTTTTCTATAAATAATAATTTCATAAATAAATTTATAAAATAACAATAAAATAATATCAAAAGAAGCAAATATTACAAAAACTCTTTCCTAATCACATTCATTTTGTTAAAAATTTTTCTTTTATGATAATTTTAAGCAAGAAAAAATGTTTTATACTCTTTATCACAAGTAAGCTCCAATTCGAAAACTTAAAAATCTTCAAGACAACTGGTGCAGTAGAATAGGACCTCTAATTGAAGTCTATTCAAGTTTGGAAGTCTTGCTTATTCTTTGATTATATAAAAAAAGACCTGTGACAATTCTATTTTTTTCTGTTCTCTTGCCCTTCTTACCTTATTCTATAATAATTTTCTCTAGAGTCTTGAACCTCTGGAGAAAAGAAGAAGAGTGATATTTCCACAAGTTTTTTTTTCTAACAAAAGTATTCTTGTCTTTAACTTTGTAGATAAGTTTTTCTTGTATTTACTAATTGAAATATAGAAAGTTTATTTCAAAAAGAAAAAGAAACAAGTGAAAAAAGATTATTGTCTTTGAGTAATAATATTATTAACAAAAGTATATAGACTTTGTTACAAAGAAATATAAAATTTCTTTAAAACATCTGTTTTTTGTGTTGATAAAAGGATCTGCAGAAAGAGAATTTTTATATTATTTCTATATTAATTTAATATTTAAATTTATTATAGATTTATATATTAAAAAAAAAAACACTCTCCTGATCACATCTATTTTGTTAAAAAATTTTCTTTTATGGTAATTTTAAGTAAGAAAAAATGTTTTATACTCTTTATCACAAGTAAGCCTTAGCTTAAGAACTCAAAAACCTTAAAAACAACTGGTGCAGTAGAATGGGACCTCTGATTGAAGTCTATTCAAGTTTGGGAGTTTTACTTATCCTTTTATTGCATAAGAAAAAGCCTGTAGCAGTTCTCTTTTCTTTTGTTTCCTTGTACCTCTTCTTCTTTTTACTATATTACAAAAACTATTCCTATTAATATCATTACATTCACTGAGTCAAATACTTTTCAAAAAACATACTTAAACAAAGTTGTTGAATCTATTGTTTGTTTTAATACAACCTTTACATATAACTTTATTATAATACTATTTACTGTGCTATTCTAAAATTTTCAAAAAACTGAAATCAGTTTACCCCTTCCAAATAATTATTACTCTTCATTTATTCAATCTAATTTTGTTAAAACATTAAAGAAAAAATTGAATCTGCCCAAACCAGTTTTTTAATATAACAACAATAACAACTACCATAACAACAAGCAATATCAATTATACTTTACTATTTATATCAACAAGGGTCATATCTCTAAGACTAGTGTTAGTGCAAGGGCTGGACTATTGGCCATCTTTTAAATATTCTTTTTGTTTATATAAATCTTATAGTCTAAGTGACTTAGTTTTAGTTTCAGTAACTATTGTTATTGTAGCTTCAATTTTTTTTTTTTTTAATTTTTTTTATTTCCTATTTATTTTATATCCAATTAAAAAATTTTAAGTAAGTAAGCATAACTGCTCTTAGCTATATTTAGTATATATAATATTGTTTTAAATTCCTTTTAATATTAGCTAGATATAGATATATAGACAAGCTAGTATTTAATTTGTTGTATATTATTTGTATTCAAGAAATGTTGTTTCTTTTACAAGTATATATAATTTTAAGTATAATATTAATAAATAAAAAAATAATGTTTACCTACTGGAAAAAAAAACAATAAAAACAATAATATTTATCTATTTAAAAAAAACATAAAAAAAAAACTCTTTTTCACTTATTTTATTTTATTAAAAAACTTTCTTTAAGAAATTTTCTTTCTTTTATTTTTCTTTTTTAGCTAAAAATAAAATTTTACAACAGATTGAATCTAAGATATACTAATATTATATAAGACTTCTTTAATTATTAAATATTATATATTTAGAAAAATGTAAACAAACCAACTTCTATATATAACAACAGTTTAAAACAAGAACTAGAAAGGTTTTAAAATTGACTAATTTTTTTTATAAGGCTTTGTGTATATTTAATAATTACAATATAAAAGCAATTTATCTTTTTTTACCTTTTTTTTTTTTCTCTTTCCAAATATGTTTTTTTGCTAATAAATTATTTTTTTTTTCTCTTGAAGATTTTTTTTTAAACTTCTCTTTCTCTTACTTGCTTTATTTCATCAACTTTCTAATTTGTTATCTTTTTATCTCAATCTAGCTATTAATTTTATTCAAGTTAATATCTTACTTGTTTAAATAGTGTAGGCTTTTTCTTAAGATTTTTTTTTATTTTAAAAAGCTTAATACAAAAAAGATTAATTTAGTTTTATTTCAATTAAAAAGTTTAAATTATAAAAAAACAGTTAGTTCTATTATTCTAAAAGTTCTAGATATATTTTTTTATAATTAATAATTATAGTATATCAAGTTAGTTAAATGCAAGAACAAGTTATAAAAAAAAATTTTGATTGACAATATTAATTGCATAAAGTTTTGTTTTGTTAAGGGTCTAAACTATTAACTAATATATTAAAAATATATAGTTATAAGTAATTTTATCTTGAATACTTGATAATATTACTATTTTATATATTATTTAAGAAAAATAACTATAAGTCTATTTTCATGTTTTATTCAATTTCCAAAATTTATTAAATAAAAAATCATAAGCAATTTATTTTATCAAAAAATAGATATAGATTAATTATATTATATTAATATCTAGATTACTAATATGAACAAGACTGTTAATCCTTAATTATATTTTCTTTAATCATATAGTTATATATAACTAAGTCACAATTCAAAATCCAAGCACCATATTACTTTTTATTATCATTACTTATAAAGTATATATACAGTATATGGTTAATAATATAATTAGTAACTAACTATTTTTTATTTTTTTTTTTCAACTTAAATTAAAAAAAATTAAAAAAAATTAAATACAATAATTATTTAAAAAAAACAAGTATAACAATTCTTAAAAAAGTATATTAAAATATAATTAAATATAATTATAAAAAATATTTATTATTATAATTAAAAAAAATTAAATAAAATCAAAATTTTAATTTAACTTATTTTTATTAAACCTATTTATAAATTATAATATTTTTATGATAAAATTTTATATTTTAAAAGTACATAATTGATAAAAAAAAATTTTTTTAAAGAAAAAATAATAAATAATAAGTATTTAGCATTGTCAAAAACTTATTTAAAAATAAATTTAAAATCATTTGATATATAAAACTTTGTAGATTAATTATATATATTTTTTGATATTAATATAATTATTTCACATATTTAATAAAAATATAATTCGAAAAAAGCATTTGCATTAGATGATTTAAATTACAAAAATCTTTATAAATAGTTTTAATTTTTTCAAAAAAATTTTTTATTAATAAGAGATATTTGAATTATGTATTCTTGTCTTTAATTTAAAAATTAATTTTTAAATATGTAATTTTATTAGAATAAACAATTTTAATCAACAGTATTTTATTTGATAATTTTATAAAAACATATACAATATATACATTTCAATAGAGGTTTAATCTAGACAACCGTTAAGCCCATTGAAATAATATGGGAGATGGATATCATTCTATACACAGTCTGTACTTCCCCAAGTGAAGGTTCCACCACTTTAATATATAAAAAAAAATAGAGGTTTGAAAGATTAAAATTTTATATAATTAGTTATATTAAGACTTTTTTTTTTTTAGTATCCAATAGTCTGAATATAATTTAGAATCGAGAAATATATACCGTAGTTTAAATAATGTTCGATATTGTCGCAATTACAAGTTTTGATGCATTTGAGGTAAAAGCTTTGCCTTCTCAGCCTTAATTCTGATTAGGTTATGTACAACATTTGTTACTTATTTAAAAATGATTACGTTTTTGTGTCTCTATCGTGATTCCATCTAGGTGATCGCACGTACATGTTCTACAAACAGATCAGTTAAATACGACATTTTAAATACAGATTTTTTGGCTTTTTCGACAGAAAATTCTTTTTGCCCATCATGAACGGTTCGAGTTACACTTTACGCATTGATGTTATTGAAGGTAGTAAATTGGCTCCGAAAGATAGAAATGGACTTTCTGATCCCGTGAGTGGATATTATCTGTCTTCTTTGGATGACAGCCGAATTCGAAATAAACTAATTCAGTAATTTTTATTTCTTATACGTAAAGTATATTGATATTCAGATAGGAGAACACACCTATACCACGCAGGTCATTGATAAAAACCTTAACCCTCGTTGGGATGCTTCATTTGATCATAAATTCAATGCATCTGAACCCCCCAAGGAAATCCGTTTTACCTGCTGGGACAAGGATTTTGTCGGTCGCGATTATATGGGAGAGATTCGTTTTGATTTGTTGGACATTTGGAAGAAAAATAGCATCGGTTATTCTGATGAAACCAATAAAGTTAGTCTTTGGATATAAGATTGATTTACAAGTTTCTCGTTATATCGATCAACAATGATTTTTATTTCTTTGTAGCCTCAATGGTACCCGTTAATTTCACTTAAAAAAAAAGAAAAGGTTTCGGGTCAAATCTTGATCAAAATTGGGCTTGTTGAAGACAAAGGAGAAAAATTGAGCCTTTCAGAATGGAGTTCCGTCTGGAACCAAATGGATCATAATAATAATAATAAATATACAAGACCACCTACCACATCACTGTTTGGATTAGGTTTTATTGAAATCGTATGTGCAAAAGACCTTCCTGCGGAAAGAAATGGTAATTTATCCATCATTAATTCAACCGTGACTTTTTTTTCTTTAAAATGAATTTAAACAAGTTTCAATTATAGTGACCGGCTTGGGATTTGACATGGATCCATTCGTCGTTGTTTCATTTGCCAGGAATACATTCCGTACAAAAATTATCAATCACAACTTAAATCCTGAATGGAACGAAAAGTTTCATTTTCCCATAAAGAAAAACGAATCCAAATATTTAATCAAATTTACCATTTATGATTGGGACAAATTCAGCGGGAATGATCTTGTTGCTTCTCAATCCTTTCCGATAGAAGAGTTGATGGGTGACCACTTTAAAGCTACCAAAGAAACTGAAGAAGATTTCGTAGAGAAAGAGCTTCCTCTTAAAGTCCTTTCCAGAGAAAAGTTTAATAAAGAATATAAGCCAACGCTCATGATAAAACTGAAATTTATGTCGTATGAACAACTAAGATCTAAATTTTGGATGGCATTGGCAAAGATTTATGACTCGGATGACAATGGAGTGTTGGATTATGTTGAAATTGAGACCATGTTGAATAGTCTGGGTTCTTCACTCACCAATGATACGTTGTCGACATTCTTTACCCGTTTTGCAAAAGATCCGCTTAGAGATGGATTAGAATTTGTAGAGTTGGTTTCATGTTTGGAGAAACAATTGGAAATTTCTCAGAAGAGTGCCACCGATGACGGTGAAGAAGCCGATAATGAACATGTCATATATATTAAAGAATGCCCGATCTGTCATAAGCCAGATCTTTCTAAACTCAACGAATCTGACATTATTACTCACGTTGCAATCTGTGCTAGTGATGATTGGGGAAAAGTTGACTCGTTTGTGACAGGAGACTTTGTGACCGAATCTCAAGCACAGAGGAAATGGGTGACTAAGATTATCTCAAAAGTTGGATTCGGCGGTTACGAGATTGGAATCGTAAGTATGGAGGCAGCGATGATTCGATGTAGTTTTCAAATATTAAAGTTAATTTAAAATATTTTATAGGATAGTGCAAACATCATTGTACAAGACCGCACAACGGGACATGTGGTTGAAGAAAAGATGGCGACCTATGTCCGTCTGGGAATTCGTCTTTTATACAGAGGCAAAGGTGCTAGCATTGATTCAAAAAGAAGTATGTGTAAAGGTTAACTGTACATTGGTCTATTGGTGTATCTTGAATACAACTAATTCTCTGAAAAATCGATTACTCTCAGCCCAGAATGTCTTGCGTAGTCTCACTCTTAAGCAAGGCAAAAAATACGATAAGCCATCGTCCACTAAAGACATAGCTCCATTCATTAAATTCCACAACTTGAACGTAGACGAGGTTCTGGAACCACAGGATTCTTTCAAAAATTTCAATGAATTCTTCTATCGTAAATTGAAGCCAGGTGCGAGACCATGTGATTCTCCCGATGATCCGCACGTTCTGGTCAGTCCGGCAGATTGTCGGATGATGGCTTTTCCAACTATTGACAAGGCAACAGAATTATGGATCAAAGGACAAAGCTTCTCTCTTGCTAAATTGATTAATGATGAAAACGTTGCAAAGGAGTTTGAAGGTGGTTCTTTGGGTATTTTTAGGTTGGCGCCACAGGACTATCACAGGTAATCCTTCGATCGTGTTACATCGCTTCACGCATATTTTTGATTGACTCTTTTGCGTAAAAAACAATCAATCTTGCAGATTTCATTTTCCGGTAGAAGGAGAATTAAGCGAGCCTACTCAAATCCCGGGATCTTACTACACTGTGAATCCGATAGCCATTCGTTCCGAGTATGTTTACCGTTTGCTTATCATGATCGAGCTATTTTCACGAATTTCTAAATGATGATCTTTCTTTCTTAGACTTGATGTGTACGGTGAGAACAAGCGTGCCGTTTCTTATATTAATTCTCCTCAGTTTGGTAAAGTTGCATTTGTGGCAATTGGTGCCATGATGGTTGGCTCTATTATATTTACAAGGTATCTTGTTACATGTTTCATTTCATTTTATTTCACTTTATTTTTCCTTGGCAGGATAGAGGTGATTCATACTTTTCTCTCTTTAGTACCCCGTCCACTCACGTGAAGAGAACCGAAGAACATGGTTATTTCGCTTTTGGTTGGTTTGATACTATATATATATATATTTGGCAAATGTTATTGTAAATTGACAATACTATCATCTTAACTTAAAATCCTCCATAGGTGGTAGCACGGTCGTCCTTCTTTTCCAGAAGGGAACGATGTTTTGGGATGAAGATATTTTGGAGAATTCTGGGTCGCGTTTGGAAACCTTGGTGCGTAAAATTAATTGTTTGGGTTTAACATACTGCAGCAGTCTAACGATATTTCCATTTCGAATAGGTTCGCGTCGGTATGCAAGTCGGAAAATCAGCATACCATCATTAAGAATAACATTAAACACTATGGTAGCAGCACGATCGTTCATTGTATGGGAGAAGATTACATTTGGCGCCATAGTTGTAATCGAATTATTTCATTATTTGCGAAACAGATGATGATTTGGGGAGATGTCTCAAATGTTCAAACTGTAATTTATTTAACACATTCGAGCACACACACACATATATATATATATATAGTATATACAATTGCTTTATATTATTTATTTATTCATTTCCTTGATTATTAAAAATACCATGCCAGAACCTCATGCCTAGAATAAAAGCCTAGGCATGGATTGCTCCACTTCACATAAATCGTAAATGGTTTCTATATTTATTTCTATTATTAGAAGAATGAGAACTATTTACAAAGTTTTCTAAATCCCAAGAATGAGAAAGCTATTGAAATCCGAATCCATCGATAAAATTAGGAAATCAACTACATAAAATAAAAACGTGAATGCATTAATTAGTGTCCTTATACTACAATGATGAAAAGAAGTCGAAGGTAAAAAGGGATAATGCCCGTCGTGGTTTCGTGCCATCAAACCTGATAGTCAAAACACATAAATACCCAACGTTCTCGCCAAACGAATTAAGACGTTTTAGAATTTATATAATTTTTGTTGAGGAAAAAAAAAAAAGGAGTTCGAGTATTATACAAGCAATATACAGAAGAGGAAACCAGAAGTAGATAATAAAAAAAACGAAGTGTCCTATGTACAATCCTTTGGTTTTTTTTTTTTTTTCTATGATCCGCCGCGAAACCCATTATATAAATATGTTTCATCACGTCCCCTAGTAAGAATTGTATCTTACGGATTTGTGTGGTGAACTTGGCGGACGTGCGTATCCATGTTGTTTCAGGAATAACCCGCATTTATTACCTTTAGCATGAGAGAATCGCGATTATATATAATCAATCACCAAACGGCAAGTAAAAGAGAAAAATATAATCAAAAAATCTACTAACAAAGTTTCTGACCCTCGGGTCCTCTCCAACAAGGTGTGTTGCGCGTGCCGCAATTGTGACACGCAAATTCTGGTTCGGGTCGCTGAGTTCGCATGAGACGAACGGTTCCATCCGGAGCGATTTCGGTCGGACGATAAACACCTTTATTTTTTAAACTTTAAAGTCGATCTAAGGTTAATTTTTCTTTCCACACATGGTTGGGGTTGACCGTAAATAATTACGGTGGAAAATCGGAATAACTTACTAGAGACCACATGCATTGCAAAGTAGAGCGACGCCCTGTAGGTCACGTCTCCACGCGGGCGTATCCCGCACGCCGCAGTTCGAGCACTGGGCAATTTCCTGACGATTACCATCCGTCGATGACGGTGATGGTAAAGGTATCACATGTGTATAATCGGATTCAGGCTTACGCCCTCGTTTCTTTTTCCCCTTGTTCGTCAACGAAGAATCACCTAGGGTTATGTAGTCCCTCATGGGGTCCGCAACTATGGAACGCCCATTACTATTTAACACAAATTGTTCGTAAGAGGTAGTGGTTGGAATCGTGCTATAGTAGTTAGAAGGTAATCCACGTGAGATTTGCGCATGCACATCTTCGTTCCAATAGTTTGCGACCGGGTTACTGTTTACTGAAACGGGGTTGTTGACATAACCAGTCTGTCCGTAGTTCGACGAGCCTTGCACCGGCACGTTTTGCTCGTAATTCAGTAAACTTGGATCAATCCTCACAGGGTTATTGGTAGCCGCGGGTAAGGTCAAGGTGTAAGTTCCATTATTTAGGGTGGTCTGGTTACCACCAGGTAGATTGGACTGAGGTGTGATGTACGGATAATAATTGGCGAAATAAGCGCGGTCGTTCAAAGTTAATTGGTTAATTGGTTGATCGAAATAGCTCTCGTTTCCAAGAGAGTTGTTGGTGCCCGCGGATTCTTCATGCGACGCGTCAACACTGGGCGCAGCAATGTTTGAACCAACCGAAGAGTTCGGGGAAATATTTGACGTATTGTTAACGTTCGATGTCATCTCCCGAGCGGGAGAATTATTTGACACCGAAAAATTGTCTATGTCAGAGGTCATCACATTACTCTCTTCGCCGGACGTAAAGTTAAAGTCACCTGAGATGCCGGGTATATTGTTGGCGTTTGGCTCATTCTCGTTGTGATAATCGATCGGACCCTCCGACCACGGATGACGGGTGTAATCTTGATGATGATCGGATCCACTTACAAATAATTCATTCGCCTCCCCCGAATGATCGTTCATAAAAGAATCGCTTGCAGGATTTTCAGACATTTGCAGGAAATGAGGAATCCAAGTGAAGCAGACTGAAGAGGGAAACAAAAAAAGGAGGATGAGAAAAAGTGAATGATTATAAAGTGTGATCCCCCAAAAACTACAAAAGATCAAGATAAACTTGATGCTTTTATAAAATTAGACAAAGCACATCTTAATATATTTTACTCTCAAGATCCCTTGTTAATGCGTAAATAAACTCACAGTATCACTGAAAAAGGAGGATAAACTCGTAGAGTCCCTTGGATGGTGGCGTAATCAGTAGAACACGTGATGAAGGAGCGTTTGACTAGGACAAAAAAAAAATATATTTTTTTTTTTCGTTAGGCGCTTACCCTGACAAAGGAGAGAAAGGAAGAGAAGAAAAGAAGGGATCCAACAAAAAGCTTTCAAGTTTTTGCTGGTTTATATTAACAAGTGGATACCATTTTTTATTTATTTATTTATTTATTTATTATTACTACTATTATTGTTATACTGAAATAACGGAAATAAATCTTCAAAATAATTATATTTATTAATTATGAATATTTTGTAATTTCTTTTTAACGTCCCATCATTTCATCAATCGCATAACCATACGTTCTTTTATTTTAGATGACAAATAATTTTAAGGGATGACTTTGAAATTTGAGGTTAAAGAAAGTGATGCATAGTGATCAATAATTTAGTGCAGGAAATGCGGTGGTTGTGGATGAGAAAGAAGTAATTACAGTGATGAGTACCTAGATTGATTAGTAAAAAACACTATATTTTAATAAATTTTGAATGCCCGATAAATTTATTTTATGATAATATTGATGTAGGGTAGTGATGATATCAGGCTGTTGTGATTTAGGTATCGAAACATCAATTATGATTTTTACTTTTTTTCCTTTAAAATTGGTCACGGTGACATAATTGTACTGGAATTCATGAATTTATGTGTAATAATTTAATAATTATCTATCATTATTATATAATTGACAATGGAATTATTTGAATTGAGGGTTGGTCTTCTTTTCTCTTGTGGAGTTCCTTCCTCATTTAAGATCCCCGATCTCTTCCTCGTGCCCGATCAATAATGCTAAGGTTACATGTGCCGGTGTGTATCACGTAAATCCCATTATTTTTAGAGCACGCAGAGTTTTTTTTTTATAAATCTCGCAGCGAAGTCTGCATTGTGAAATCCCTTGGTTGGTGGTGGTAGAACAGAGGGAAATGCATTCAGGGATTCCACTTAAAAATAATCATTATTTTAGATCATAGTACTATTGTCCTCCATTTTGAGAGTGTTTATTAATATGTTTGTATAATTTGTATAATCTAATATAATGGATTTTTCGGTTTTCACCATACTTTCCACTATAGTTAGTTCTGCAGTATAGTGTAATTACAATTATTATTATTATCTTATATTCTATTCACACCAATTTTCCTTTTTAATGTAAAATCATTATACTCATTGTGAAAATTTGTAATTCCCATAATCGACTTTCGAATTACGGGGCGATAAATAATACGTTTAGGTGTCGTGGCATTGACTTCTGTATCTAAAATTTTAAGGTTATCTTAAATAATTTCGCAAAAATTAACGGCAACACTCTTTCGACATCCCATAATAAAAGGACAGAATTACTGGAGGTATCCTTTGACCGATAAAAAAATCGTAACCTGCAATAAAGGAGTGTTTGAAAAGGGTTTCATTTTTTATTTTTTACAAACATTATCATTGGCATATAGTGTATGTAGCATATGTTGGAATGGAAGAAATAAAACGACAGCCGAGAACATTCGCCAGGTAGGAGATGGATAATGCTATTCAATATTAACATTCATCAACTTACAATGGATTTGACTGTATGCGCAACTTGATGTACAGTAACTTCAGCTTCGAAATGACATTTGCCAGTGCACCAGGTTTGCTTCTAATGTGTATCTCGAAATCTTTAATGTGTCAAAAATTGATCAATTATGTACTCTTTTTTTTTCTTCATTACTGATAGCCGAAGGAAGACCACACTGGAATACATTTGAAACTATTTCTTGAGACCATTGATGGCTCATGAAATGAATCTCTCTTGATCATGATCCATCGTCTTTTAGTACGGATCTGATGATCAGGTCTTCTTTCTTTTTTTTTTGAATCATTCAAAATGTGCTTTTTTGTGAAATCGGTTATCACAAAAGATCAATAATTCAATCGCGCAAGAAGAAAAACTCATGCTCTACTTTCCAATGTCACCGAGAACATGCGATGAATCATTCAAGCTAAAAAATCAATAATTTTTCGCGAGTTATATGGAAATCGATATTTTGCCATTTTCTCGTATCCTCCTCTATAACCGACGACAATTCTTGTAGTTTGAGCGTGGAGATCGATGTGAGCGACGTCGGGAATGGTGTAAATGCGCGTCGAGTGTCTTCAAAGTTCGACGTTTGATACGGAAAGGTCGAAAATGCAAGCGTCAGCAAACCTCGTCATGCCAGATGAAGTTAATGACATGCTTTTTTGAATCCAGGAAACGATCGACCAAGAAACCACCCCCCTGGAACTGTCTGCATCAGCACATAAATGAATTTTGATCAGGACCCTTTCACACAGAAAAGCAGGATCACTTGACGCCAAGAAGTCTTTAAAATAATCATTTCATACCTGATATTCTTCCTTAAAAATATCATGAGCCATCTCACTCAAATAGATTTTACGCAATCCTCCATGAAATCTAAACAAAGCCTTGAAAGAGATTCGGAAAGGCGAGCAGAAAGAATTTGAATGTCGAGCGTCTTGGACGAATAGGTTATCAAATGGTTTCTTTTTTGGTATTTTCAAATAAAGGAAAGAAGTTTGCATTAAAAGAAAGATAGGATTTTAAATGAAACAGGTTGGAGAAGCATCTGAAGTTTTATTGAACGTGTACACGTGATTATTTAAATATAAGTCATCACTAAAAACATATTTTAATGATTCCTTCTATTATTACGTAATCATTTACGTAATGAGCATGGATGTTTTTCGGCGCAAAATTCATCACTACGCCCCAATAGAAGTGACGAGTTGGCTAATTTAAAAAACTGCCTATAGAAAACCTCATTGGTTCACTTATACAGTATAAGGCATTTCGTATAATAAGAAAAAAACAGCAACAGCATTACGCATTTGGCAATGCTACACTTTACAGTCACTTAAGTTTTCCAAATTTGGAAACTTCGTATTGGGAAAATAAAGCTCTTTAATGGAAATTAAATAATTTATTATAGAAAGGCTGACGTAATTTTCAACCTGATCGAGATTGCACTCGATAAATACGACACCAAAATTTCAACGTGTAATACCTGATCGCCTCTAATTAAAGAAGCAACCATCCGAAAATAGAAGTCCCGATAAAAATACGTATGTGACTTGGTGGTAAATTTTTGTTTAAAGGATAATTTTAATGATTATTTTAGTGTATAACTACTTACTGTGTGTGCCCTTATCCTTTAACTCTATTCTTAAAATTGGCATTAAAGATTGCTGTCTGTTCACCTGAATTAAAATCCCCGTTATAAACCCAATTGGTGTTTCGCACCAAGAATTAATTTGTCGATTAGAATTTTGATGGTTTGAATTTTACGTTCTTGAGGTGAAAGATTTTTACGTCCTGAGGATCAGCGATTGTATTGTCCTTTTTCATATACACTATATGTCGTTGAAGACGATAGGAAAAAATCTACGGTTCAAAGTTTATCCTCGAAACCCAGAGGTTTTCTCGAACGCATGGCCAAAAGAAGGCATCCAAAATTTGATATAAAAATTCAAATTTGTAAACCCTAATAGATGCAAACTCCTTGATACTAGTGATACGAAACTAAAATTACCGTCTGATGTTACACCAATATAACATTGTTCTGTCAATGTTTTTTGCACCACATTTCCCATTCCGTTCGAAACCTCATTTATGGAAATGGTCAATCTTTATACACCTTTATATGGTTTTCGATAAGACGCGAACATTATCTCTTTTGCCGTTAGATCAATGTCTGATGAGCGCAGAATTCGCGATATCCCAAAATAATAAATACTCCAGAAACGCGGCGCCATTCCTCGATTTGTTGCAATCTAGAATAGAAAAGTACCAGCAAGACCCTGACTGATACCAAGAAAACAATTCGTACTCGACCACCTCAATACGTTTGGGCGGTCTTTCGGTAAAAAATTACAATTACAACAAAAAGGATGGCAACCACCAACTCGATTACTAACACCGCCTCACGTCCGTGCGTCTTCATAAATCTCGGCGAAACGTCCTCGAATAATGTATCCCCCAACAGCGAACTACCCCTTATCACTCCGCCTTTCCCACCAACCATCGACCCACGCGATCTGATCACGTTACTTCCCGATGGTCGCGTACCAGCCAGAGCGCCCAACGCATTCCTTATATATCGCAAAGCGTTCATCGACGCTGTCAGAGATAGTGGAAATTACCTCCCAATGACCGTGGTATCCCCGATGGCATCAAGATCTTGGGAGCAGGCTTCCGACGTTGTAAAAGAAGAATATAAAAGGCTTGCGAGGAAAGCATTTGATTATAGAAATGAGATTTGCCCCAAGTCCCAGAGGCGCAAAAAAAGGGAAAAATGGAATGTCGTCTCCTTTAATCAATTTTCAACTCCCTCCTCCTCCAGTCTTGGCAGACACACAAGGAAATCTCCCAACAACAAATCGGCCGAAGTTCAACGATCCACTGCCTCCACCGAACTTCCGCCATCCTCAACTCCGGAAATCCCTAATGTCACGAGCCCGCAACAAACCGACTTTCAAGTGTCGCCAAAAACTCATAACTTCGCCGTTGGTAATACAGGAAATTCGCATGGCCTTCCAATCCCGGACCTGTCACTGACCTCTAGTGATCCGAATTCAGTTGTTAGTTCACCCGACTTAAACGAAAAAGATAAAAGTGACGAAACCGATATGACTATTTTCTCGCAGATTGCTCCTCAGATTACGTTTGATGAGCAACAATCCGAAGTTTGGTTCGAACCTAAATACTCATCGATAATAAATAACGACGTTTACAATTTTCACCAGTCGTATTATGAGAGCCTTTGTTACAAAACTCGTAACCTCAACATATGTAACAGCTTGTTTTATTCGATCCCCTCGTACGAGTCACGTACCGAAAGCCCTTCATCAACCTTTTCGTTTCCCTTCGATTCATCAGATAATGTAGTAGTAGCGTTTCCGGAAGATCTAAACAATTCCGATTCTTCCAACATTACTAACGTTTTAAACAACAATGTCAACATAACACCTTTCTGTACCGGATTTCTGTCGTCGCCATCTTATTATTTCTAGATTCGGTAATTATGAACACAACTATTTTTCGTTTCCTGATATTCAAGATTATCTTAAGAAACCTTCTATGTTATCCGAATTATACCTAACGTATGAGCATGCACATTACGAATATGTTAAGATTAAACGAACGACATTCGATATTACGTAATATATTTTATGCCAACCGATTTGGTTTTTTGTTAAAATAAGAAATAAGACTTAAAACCTATGTATGCGAGTTTCATTTATAATAGGAAGAAAGTTATGGAAGACAAAAAATAAAGTAAAATTCTTTTCAAAATTATTATCGATTTTTTTTTTATTTTTTTTGAAGAGGGTAGCGCCACAACTGTATCAAACTACAAGTCATGGAAGGCAATCTTCGATACCGGGACGTCTATTGTGATCATGAGTTAAAATTTGCAGTGTTCGGCAATTATTGTACACTGTGTTAAGTATGAAAACCACTGTCTAGACTCTGGTGTTGACTTAAAGATCACACATCAGAACAATATATTACGCGCGATGTTGATTTATCAAAGTAATTTTTTCAATTTATCCCATTAAATACACTAAATCAAGATTTGGTCAATTTTCAATGTACAAAGTTAAAGATGAAACAATGAAACATACCTAAAAGTCTCGACCAGAAGTTGAAGACGGAAACTGTTACAGTAATTGTAACCTAAATAGCTTGCATGATATTTTAAGCAAGCTGCCATTTTAATAAATACAAAACTTAAACGGATAATTATTATATCTAATGCTGTTAACAAACTATTAAAATCTGTATCATGCAAGTTACAATATGCTTATTACCACATAATTCTGCCAACAAACTATTAAAAGTCTGTATCTTGTCTATGTTATAGATCATTAAATTAACTATTTAAATTTTTGTGTATTTATAATTACGGCTTATCACTGTAGCTTATTTTATTGTTAACATTGATGATAATGCAAAGTTATACAATAACATATAGGGTAGTATACTGTTTTTAAAGTTTGGTTGGTGATTAAAAAATAATTAAAGTGATTAGCTATTTTAAATCACAATAATTTATTAAAATTGTATCATAAAAAAAAATTGAAAATTGATATAATATAATAGTTACAGTATAATAAAAAATGGCAATCAATTTTTTTTAAAAAAGTTATATACTGTCTATTTAATTTAATAAAAATTTGTTATTATTAAATGTTCTTTTTATATATCATAATAATAATTATCATTTATATTAGTATTATATGTATACTTTTTTTTTTTTTTAATACCAGAACAGTTATTAGTATCTTTATTATTTATAAGAGATTGCTGTATGGCAATATTACAAATCTAAAAACTAATATACATCTTTCTTTGCTAAGAAGAGTCTAATATAAGATGCAACAAAAGTGGTCCCAACCATTCAAGTATTTTTCTATAAACCTACCCAAGCGCTAGCAAAACATAATATTAAAACCTAGACTTAATACTCAAACAGGTGCCTAATATGACTAGGAAGAATTAGAAGTACCCAAACATATGAAAGTGCTGCAGCCAAGTATACAGGTTGGCCTTCAAGTCATAAATGGAATTTGGCACACTTGCTTTTTAAAGTTAACTTGATGTACAGCAGGCAGAGAAATGGAGGAACAGAGAGTTGGTTTTTTTACACATGAAGATACTATAGTCACTTTTCACAGATTGGCTTCCAAGTCATATAAAAAATTTGGCATATCCATTTTCCAAGTGTGGCAAAAGTGTCCAATGAATAGAGTTGAATTGAAATTTTTTAAAGACATTGTTACCTAACTATACATATGGAATTACATTGTCGAGAGGTAATCAAGGAACTTCTGTTGTTGATACCAGCTCTGTTTGTGGGAGTAACTAGAATTCCTGGTTGTCATGCGTTATCTTACTAGGTATCCCAGACACCAGCATATCACTTGTAGAAATCTACACTGGCATTGGTTGCTAAATTACTGGATACAGTGAGGTGCAACTCCCTGGGAGTTTAGATGACAATACTGTATATAACCAAAAATAAGAAACCCCAAAATGAATCCATTCAGTAATTAAAGTAGAAGAGGTTTTTATTTTTAAGACTTTGAAATTTTTGAATTAATTTTTGTAACTTTTTTTATATTCTGATCTTTTAATTGTGTTATGTATTTTTTTTATACTCTACCATGTTACGTAACTAATCAAATTAGATACAATAATATGAAGTATATAAAAAAAGGAAAAAGACAATCATATTCTGTTAAGGAAAAAGCTGCAGTTGTTCGTTTTGCACTTGCTTCCAATAATGTTAAAGCTGCTGTTCACTTTGGAATCAACAAAAGTCTGATTAACAAATAGATAGGAGGCTTGAAATCTTAGCTTGACAATCTTAAAAACCATAAGTCTTGTCATGTTGATGCTGATAGAAAAGAGTTTTTTCCTGCTAAAGAAAAACAACTTTTTGCTTGGTTTCTTCAAATGCATGAGGCTGCTTTAGCCATTATCTATAATAGTCTCAAGATTGAAATATTAAAAATTGTTGCTGAAACTGCAACAAATATAGATGATTCTACAAAAAAAATTATTGCAAGCAATTTCAAAACATCTTCAAGATGGTTCAAACTTTTTTTGCATCAATATAATCTTACCCTTTGTCATAAAACAAAAATATCTCAACAATTATCTAAGGATCTTGAAGAAAAATCATTCAATTTCCAATACTATGTAATTCATATATACAAGTGCAAGAATTTTTTACTTAGTCATATTGCCAATATGGATGAGACTCCTGTGTGATTTGATATGGCGAATAATCTTACAGTCAATACAATTGGCAAAAAAACAGTCCATATTCATACTACTGGTAATGATAAAAATCAGTTTATAGTAGTTCTTACATGTTTTGCTAATGGTCAGAAACTCCTTTAACTATTATTTTCAAAGGCAAGCAGTGGCTCAAAGCTAAAGATGTACTTCTTCCCCTCCAAATATCAATATTTCTTTTCATGAAAAAGGCTGGATGGACGAAAAAGAAATAATAACTTGGACCTGAGATTTTGCAAAAAAATGACCAGGTAGTTATAATAAAGAACCTGTTCTGCTTGTATACGATTCCTTTAAAGCACATCTCACAGATAATATTAAAGAAAAGATGAAGAAAACTAATACTAATCTTGTAATTATTTCAGGGGGTTTCACATCAATATGTCAATCATTGGATATTTCTATTAATCATTCTTTCAAAGCTGCTCTTCATTATCATTAGTATACATGGATGGCAATTGGTGGAGCTGGAAAAACTGTGAATGGAAACTTGAAACGTGCAAGCTTGTATATGATATGTAAGTGGATTTTTGCTGCCTGGAACAAAATCAATCTGGAAATTATTCAGTGGGCATTTAGAAAGTTTTGCAGCTCTAATGCTTTATATGAGACAGAAAATGATAAAATCTTTAATGAATTGACTTGTAGTGATAAAAGTAACATGAAAATAAATGTATATAAAGATAATATGAAATACAGAAATAACAAAAATAATGAGGAAATTTGCGAAGATGATATTATAGAAGAGAATGGAAATGTGATTGTTTTTGATTGTTCGAAGTAAAGCAAAAAACTATCTACTTTATCAGCAGTTCTAAATAAAATTTCAAGAAATTACAGATCTTGAAAAATAAATATAATTAAGTTTGATTCATGTAAAAAAAATTATTTTAAAGTTAAAAAGTATTAATCAAGATTTTTTTTTTTTATTCCAAATGATGTGAATATATTTTATAATGAAAAAGTCAATTCCAAAACTATAAATTTTCTTGAAACCAATAGGACTGATTACCTATATATGCAAAAGCACAAGAACTAACATTACTAAATAGAGATAACTCAAGATACATAAATTCTGACATTGTAAAACTTTATTCTAAATTTCTGATATGGAGATAACTCGAGGTATGTAAATTCTGACATTGTATAACTTTATTCTAGATTTCTGATATTATGGTAATCACTAATTATATTACAGTATATTGGGTTATTCTGAAAGGCTGCGTAAAAGAATCAAAAAATAAATAAAATGTTTAAATATATACTGTAAATGATTTGTTATACTGTGATCAGAAATGGGTTTGGCGAGGCATTTGATTTGACCAAGGTAAGTAATTTCTCTTTATTAAATAACTTTAGTCACCACTATCTGTCTTTAAAATAAATGCTAACATTTTATACTTCTGACACTATTATCTATTTTTACCTTCCTTTTTTTCTTACGATCCTGGATCAATCATCAGTTATATGACTCCAATTATGTTATATTGTTTTTTATTCTTCCTTTTATAACTCCCCCACGCCTATCTTATATGTCCCACATATTAAGATTTCTACTAGGCATGTATCCGTTATCATGTTTCATTTAGTGATGGCCAGTAGGTTATTGATTTGCTGGGTCATTGTTCATTGGTCATCGGTCATCTTTTCTTGCTACTTGTGTTTGATTGGATATAATCTGCACAGCTTTACTTTTATTATTCCTATGTTTTCTCCATAGGATTATCTGTCCGCTTGAATCGTAATAAGTCTTGATACCATCAGTAATAAGCTTTTGATACCGTTTGGATTCCAACTTGCTTTGATATGCAAGTATTTGTTTCCTCTTCTTATTTTTTTGTAGTCATGAGTGGCAATCATGATTATAATCATAATAGGAATTTTTTTTTTTTTTTTTTTTTTTTTAAACTAGCTTAACCTTGCTTAGCAAACTTTATTAAAGTCAATATTTACATATATTCGT